CAGGGCATGTGCATGCCCCCATGCCCCCGGCACTGGAAACGTTCTGCTTTTGAGGACAGAATTTTCCTCTTTTACTTAGTGACAACTATTAGTAGTCAAATTCATTTTAGCAGGATTATTTCCAGGCTCACCAACATAATGACTGCATGCACCTAGAGAATTGTCTACTGTCTGCAGCATCCTGGCAGTACCAGAGCACAACCAAGATTTGATTTTCCTGGGCTCTTCTGGAAGCAATTTGGTAAAGAATTATCAACAATAAAAAATAGCACAGAAAATACAATAAAAGCTAATGCAAAACCTGAAAAGGCTAAGGGAGACCCTACAAACTGCAGGGTATTTTAGATTTTATGCTCAAACTGACTTGGAGTCATGGAATTCTTTTAATTTATGCTTCTGCCTTTGATGTAGCTGTTAACAGAACGTGTCACTGACCTTGGGTGGATGACAGAGGTAATCATTTCCCAAGGATGAATTGCTCTTGAACAGTTCTTGATTATCAGGCAGGCCTATGATTTCTTTTAAAGACCAGACATGCCTCTATTCTTCTGCTTTGTTTATTTTGATAAAGCAAGTGTATCTCATTACTAAGGAACATGTTAAAAATCTATTTTATTTCCAGCTTGTTGCATTCCAGAGTATAGATCATCTTCATGTGTTTTTTTGAAAAAGATCTGTATAAACATTCATTAGAATTACTGGATACTGAACATTTCAAAAAAGTCACAAGGACAGTAGGAGGTTTAGTCCTACAATTTTAAATTTTCTTTTTTTAAGTCTGGCCAAAAAGTGAAAGTATTAAGCAATCAAACCCAGCTTATTCCATGCCTAGAAAACTGTGGTAGACCTTATCAACCCTGTGATCTTTCATCATGAGGCAAAACTTATTTTTGATTCCAATTAGCCTCTGGATGCCTCAAAATAGGAAGAAGGTCCCTGTGGAAATTGTGTCCTTTGCTCACAAAGGACAAGGAGATTTCCCAGTAATACCAATGCATATTTGTCACTTTATGATCCTCCTGGCACCACTGATCTGTGAATAAAAAAACACAGACAAAAAAACCTAGATTTTCTCATCTTTCCTTCTTAGAATGCAATCTGCTTTTACACATCTCTATGATTTTACTCTTTCTTGCCCTTTCTTTAGCAATAACAAGGAAGGAACACCTTACATTAGTTTTCTAAATTTTAGTATGCAGGTTGCTCAATATTATATGCAAATACTTCATAATATATTTATATACTCCCCTTAAAGTTTGCCAGTCTCAAGGGGGTTGAGACAAAAGGTTCTTAGGAAACTGATGCCAAGTATTTCCAGTCCTTAGTATTCAAACTAGAATGCTGTAAGGGAGAAAGATTTTTCCTGATGATCATTTTACTTAATGATCTTTACCCAAAGAGCTCTCCATGGACTCATCTCCTCGTTCAAAGCAGAGCTCCCTGCATGCAAACCCAGTCTCTTAATGCTGGATCCACATTTCAGCACTCCAGCCAGGAGACTGCCCCACCACCAACCTCCACCAACCAGAACAAGCTCCTGCAATTCTGCACAAACTTCCAGTTCTTCCAGTTTGCTCCCCTTGCTGTGTGTTTTCATGTATCAGTAATTACAAATAGCATGTCAAATCTGAATTCTTTAGTCATTGTCAAGTGCTTTAAAGCCTGTACCTGCTTAGACATTCAAATCCAACTTCCTGAGCTGAAAAAGTTACTGCTTTTCAGACAGAAAGATTTTTATTTTATAAACTTGGAGGGTCATGGTCAATTGATGACTATCATAGAATACTACCTGAAAGTATGTACTTTATAAGACAGCACCTGAAACACAAATTGCTTGATGCTGCCTAGTGCAAGCAACAATAATCAAAAACACAAATAGCCAATTTATTTTAAAATTGCCATTACTTACATAGTAAACACAGCTCACTCTTGTACATAAACATTTTCAAGTGAAACTGCTTATACTGGACAGTAATTTTAGGAAGCTCTCCAACATAATTTGCTTGACTATGTATGAAATTTAACTGCTGGGAATAAGGAGCTACAAGCTGACCCCAGGTTGCCACAAAGCACAAGCCCTCACTCCTCTGCCTGTGGACTGAAGTTCAAGATGAGCTGCTCAGAGCTGATCCATTGCTTCCACCAAGGGAGACAAATGCAGGAGAGGGACTGCAGTGACTCCTTAGCAACAATCTGTTTTCACACCTGAGATTCTTTAAAGGATTCAGAATTTACATACATGATGAAGAATTTCTGTTATAAACTCCTGACACAGGAAGCTCTCTACCTTGATTATTGTTTGAGAAGAAAATTAAAAATGCCACCACCTTGTCTACAGTAACAGGTGAAAGGAACACAAAGGATCCACAGTGTTGGTTCAAAACTCACCACCCCCAAGTACCAAATCAGTGCACAACAGGAAGTCCTTGCTATACTTTCAAAGAATTCAGATACAAATTTGTTTTTCCAAACAAATTAAATTATGCAAGTTGAAGATCCTTATACTAGTATTTTGCAAATTGGGCTACATGTGTTGCCAAATAAAATGGATTTCTTCAACTTCCCTCATTTTTCTGAGATAATGAGTTAAGAACACAGTTGTTAAAGTACATTGTGAATTAAATTTTATAAACCTTCCATTTAACAGAGAAAAGAGATACTCAGATTTCAGAAAGTGGTTTTACTTCTAAATTAGTTCAGAGTTATGATTCTGCTCAGCCCCCAACTGAACTGGATTACCTACTGCATCATCCAGTTCATTGTCTTCAGAAATATAAAAGTGCTACCAATGTTAGCAGGCTTTGGCAACACAAAAAACTTGGCCACTGTACTCACAGTGAAATGCAAAAGTTGCACTAATGCAAAGATAAATTATGGACTCAGCATAAGGAGTGAGGGCACAAACATCAACAATATCAGCAAATAGGAATATTAGAACAAGTATGTTACCCTGTCTGTATTTCACAAATTCTGCATATTTTTGAGATTTTTTGAAAATGCAATAGAATACTCTATGGCATTTTCAGAGAACTTTATGGATGCTGCATTTTAACCTGTAGGGTAAAATACTTTGAAAAACAAAGTACAAGTTAAAAGATTTTAAAGAATTCCAGAACATATACTTCCAGTAATTACTATTATCCTCATTATAATGTCAAATCCATTATCTGGAATTGAAGTTAAATCTCACAAATCTACTGAGCAACCCACGAAGAAATATCAGACTATTTCAATATTGGAATACTTCTGTTAATAAATGTTTAATATTGATAATTGATATGTCCATTTCATATTTCTAATTGAAAGACTCATTTTTTCAGGATGACCTTACGCAGGACTGCTTTGATGAAATTGAAAAAGCTCTTACTTTCAAAGTGGTCATCTCTATTTCCAGGACAAATCCGCAAAAATAAATTAGCAAAGTTTCCTTTGATGTCTGCTGAAGGAAAATCAAGTTTTGTATGAGTAATTAGCACAGGACCAACAAGAGAGGCCCTGAAAGGGGCAGGTCCTCTGAAAAGCCCTTTCTAAGCCCTCCAGAGGGCAGAACTGCCAGACTAGATGTCTTTCAACATTAAGCTTCATATTCCCTGGGAAACCAAGTGCAAAACAATCTTACAATGTTAATGAAATGCTGAGATAGAATAACAAGTAGTCAGATGCAGCTAATATTAATCTTTCTCCTGTGGTTCCACAGCTCTGATGCAGCACTTCCCAATTCCTTTTTCTTAAATACAAACTGATCTCTTTTTTGCAAAGTTAAAAATCAATATTGTGCAAAAAGTCTGGGCCTAAGCAGTTAATACTTCAGTTAAAAATGAACAAACCTTCTCTCACATAGTGACACAGGCCCTCTGCACACAGTGGGGCTGTGTAGAGATTTTATCATTTGTTCATCAAAGTGCAGGTGAAAACTTTACCCTACACTACAATCTGCTTGGAAATTAGGAAAATGATGCAACATAAAGAAACCTGCTCTTCTGGAAGCAAAAATACCAACAATAAAAAAAGAGAAAAATCTAACTTGCTTTGGGAAAGATCTGATTTTACCAATTTGACTACAGAACTTTGGCATGTGGGAAAAGCAACTTACACTGGGAAGCTACCAGGCAGCAGGGGATTGACCTGTGACATGAGAACAGCCACCCTGGAGGATGAAGACATGTTGTGCTTCTGCATATAGACTGTTTAGATTGGGAAAAACAGACAGCTTGATGTTCCCAAAGAGAAGCACAAGTCTCAGAAGAAGTGATCTAGGAAAAACAAAAAAAAAGGCAAGATTCTGGCTGGAGAAATTATACTGGAAGCAAGAGCCTACCCATCAAACAGAGGCATGGATATGAATGCCAGGGAATTCCCAGGGACTTGGAGCAGGAATGCCCATGAGCACCAACTGCAGGCAGTGGTGCAACACAAACTGGCTCAGCTTTCATCCAACCTTCCCAGGGCAGCAGCAATCTGTCCCAGCTGGGAAGGGAAGCCAAGAACAGTGAACACAGCAGGAAACAAGACTGATAAACCACAAAGAAGGGTAAATCTCCAGATTTGTTTTAGATTAAATTTCCAAACTAGCTACAGACCATTTGCCCTGGTTAATGCATGTACTGAGTCTGCAGCCACAGCAGATAAAAAGAAATTGCAGTTCTGTTTCCAGAGAAGCAGACATGAAGCCTAATAAGTCTAACTGAGGCACTGAATTGAATAAACTTGCTGTTGACCAGTCAGTATCCTTTCTGTGATTGCCCTTAATGTCTGACTTTTCAAATCTGACCAAAAAGATTTGCAGGTTCACGTGGCTCAACAACAAGTGTACATGTTTCAACAGCAACAATCCTCATTCTGCTTATTAGAGTAGAAAAAGCAGAGTGGAAAACCAAAGAAATTTCAGTTATGAGAACAAAATCCTGAATCAAGTGAAGTACAACTTCAGCACAATGACATGGAAGAGTCTGTAAGAATCAAGAGAAAAGCAGGGGCAGAGGTTTCAGCATCTTACTCACCTCCCCCTCAAATTCATACTTCTCATGCGAGGAAACTGAAATCCCCAGGCTACTGAAACTCTTCTTTAAGATGAAAAACAAAGAGTGATCAAGGAGCAAGTAATACAGACAAATAATTTAAATGTCTGATGTCATGCCTTGCTGACTCCATTGAGAGAGGGCCAGTGTCAGAAGCAAAATGATGAGTGATGCTGAAGAAAGAAGCATTGAGAACATGGGCTCATACCAGTGCTGCTGCATATTCCTCTTGATGGAAGCTGTGAGGCATCCTGGGCATGGGCAGGACACATATTACTCTAAGCAAAACATTTATAGAGCAGCTAGCTAATAGCCTGCAGCAGTTTAAAGTACAACATTTCAGATAACTGTTGAATTATTTTTGAAATCACCAGCCAAAAACATCACTTGGTAGAAAACAAAGCTAAGGAACAGCCTCAGACCAGAAAAGAAGTGATGGTATTTTCAAATAGCTGAAAAACAGGGAACAGGACCCAAGGCAAGTCGGGCTTGTCCCTTGAGTTGAAGCTGATGCACACTGAATTGTTCTCTTAGTTCCACTAACAGGTTATGTTGTTTTTTCTATACCCTTTTTTCTTAGCTATCAAAAGAGACCTGCAGAGATAAATACCTCAAACAACTGTGGTAAATGCTAAAATTCCTCTATCCCTAGAAGCAGCCCTAGCACAGAAACAGACAATTGAAGGCCAGGAGAGGTGGAGACTGAAAGTTTGATAGGATGCCACTGTTCAGTCCAGAGACAACAGGGGAGGGAGAAATGCAGGTAGCCCAGATATGTACCATCTACCTTCAGGCAGCTCATGTTCAGGTATCAATGAAGAGACAGATGTGCAAGCAGCTGGATAATTTAGGTGCTCAGCTCCTTTGAGCAAACAGTTATTTAGATTAGAAGCTTATTGTCAGCACAATGTAGTTTTAAAAATTAAGATACTGAACCACTTAGAGCTAAAAGATGAAAAGGAAATATGCTTGTTGCTCTTTCAGCCTTACTGGAGTTTATTAAAGATAATGATCAACACAGAATGCCAGCAAGTTTAATAAAAACAGGACAACAATAGGAATTTTGAGATTAGAGTGAAAGGAATGCCTGCTCAAAGGCAGACAAAAACACATTCAAACACTTATTTTCAAATGACAGTGAACATAACTTACTTCAGCTTTAAAAACTTAATAATTTTTCCCCACAGTTAGCAATAAGTATTACCTTGTCCACAAAGGAGATGTAATCAGTGCTACTTTCCCCAACAAGATAACATCTGGCAATAACAATTATATTGATTATCTGATTCCAGCAACCTTTGCAGGACAAAGCCTCAGCCATGAATGCATAATTCCCACCTCTCTATCATGGTTTATTATGTAATAAGATATTGATTGAACTGGAGGAGGGAGCTTTCTGGGGCCAGTCTTCCAGGTGTATTTAACTACCCCCTAGCTTCTTTTCCTAAAAACCATACAGTGACTGGGTAATTACACCTCATGCTATGTTTGCCAGCTGACTGTGTTTTCAGGGCCCACTTACATTTTGCTCCTCCTGCAAAAGCAGCCATAAAACACAGCCCACATGAGTAAACTGCTGAACTGCTGCAGTCAGAAACACCATGACCTTTTGACAGCAAAATTCTTTGCAGAAAAGACAAAGCATGAATGATCTTTGATAAATCACATTTTCAGACCTAATCTGTTTTATAGCTAGAAGGTAGATGAAACCATGCCTGTGGTACGTGAGAAAAAGCAACTTCCCATCATGTCTCCTCCACTTTCTTCTATTTGCCCATTACCAAAACTACTCAAACCCCCACCATACCTCCACTATCAGCTTAGTGCAGGAGCCTAAAGGGAAATGTCTGGGCCAAAATTTAGACAGCTTGGCACAAACCTCCTGGCACATCCCACTATGAGAAATTCTCCACAAAATAATTGCAACCAATGTCAAAAAATACATCCAACAGCAACAGAGGGTAATATGCAAACCATGTTTGTAATTAACCACTTGTTCTGAAAATACTAATATAATTTCATTTTGTAGATTCATTAATAGCAAATTAAACTAATTATTTATATTGCTGTACCATAGTTTGTGCTCTGTGCATTATGCAACTAAATAGCATTGATAAAACTACTACACTGCTATGCAAAATGTAATTAGAATTCCATTTTGCATATGCAATTGCTGCTGTACTATAATAAAGAATTAACTGATAAACAAGATTCAGGATACAACCATTTGTCCTCTTTCCAATCATTATATTTTGTAATGAAATGGCATTGCTCAATTTAGCTCCTAAATATCTTAACAGAGAATAATGAACTTGAGATGTTCTGGAAAGCAAGCTAGGGAATGCTGTGTTGATAACAGCATTGTGTTCCCATGACAAGAATGAACTGGGAAAGCATATGACATAAAAAAATTCATTTTGTGATAAGGAAAACATTGTGCTTATTCTGTATTGAGTTTGTTCATTTTCCTTTTGTGCATGTGTCTTATTTCTAATGCATCATAGCTAAGTACATGTGCTTTATTTCATCATTCTACAAAGACATACAGTGGGGAAAAACAAGACTGAATTGTTCTGCAAAATGGTTTATTCCTGAATTCCTGCTTTCTATTCTTTTACTTGAGTCCAATACAGTTTTTCTGTGGGCACTAAACACAAGTACAAAAAAAAAAACCCAAAACACACACAAAAAAATCCCCAACCAAAGAAACAAAAAAACCCCAAAAATAGCTAAAAAACAACAAAACCCAAAACAATCACAAAAAAAACCACCCAGAACAGTCACTAATTCACTGCAATACAGTGAGAGATCACCCTCAGTTCTTGTTGTAGCAGCGATTTTTAAATAGGGTTCTCATTAATGCATCCAAAGCACCTTCATTCCCCAAATCTTACATGCAGGGGACAGACTTGAGAACGTCTTCTCCCAAAGGATCAAAGTGGTTTTTAGAACTGAAGCTCACCAGTAACACACTGAGAAAAGCAATGCTGCCACACTGCAAGTTCTTCTCATCCTGAAAACACTTTACAATATTAAGCTAGCATCATTATCCCTTTTTTATTGAACAAGGCACAAAAGGATAAGTAACATGGCAAATGTCTTAACAGTGAAAAAGCTGGAGACAGAATTTAGATATGACATCCTGTTCCTTATCCTCCTTGCAAGGCTACAGAGCTTCACAGTTATCCTATAATTTACATGAAAATACAAAGCCTACTAGCATTAGAGTATCTTTGTGCCAAAGGAAAGTTAAAATGTATTAAAAATACCATGACAGCAGCCTGCAAAACCTTCTCTAAACCAGCTTCTAGTACACACCAGTGAGAACATCTCAAGCTGACCTGTAAAATTAATTCCTTGTTCCTTTCGGATGAATTTAGCTAGAACCAGAATTAGCGTTAATACGTTTTAACACAATTGCAATGCTCTATTTTATACTTCATTTGACAACAAATAGGAGCAGCACATAAACCTCAAATATTGACTAGCTCCCAGCACAGGAGTGTGTAACATCCAAAATCTAAGTGTTGCTAAAATATTTTGGAAGGAAAACATGTATCATCCAAGGAAGTGGAATAGCAGCTCTTTTCCTAACCCTTTCATTTTGCATCATCAGATTAATCCCTAGAGTCATTTCACTCATTAGATCAGGTTTGGCTGATTATGTTTGACCTAAGCTCTACTGCTAGCACATTAGAGCTTGTTGATTTGTTAATTAAAAGTGCAAGTCCATCAAGCTAGTCACAAAACAGAAAACCTCTTCAGAAATAGTAGTCTCTATAGCTGCTAATTTCTCCATGCCTAAAGCCAGTTTAGTACACAGGAGAGCAAACTATAAAGGACATTTTTTTGTTCTTTATGCAAAAGCAATGAGCAATGAGTAATAAAAGGTATCAATTATTCACATTGCTTCCCAGCAGTTCAGAATCTCAAGAAGCACAAAAAAAGCTACACTGCTTTTCAGCAAAGAGCAAAAATTATTTGGTGATATGCAGATCTCTGTACAGAGAATTTGTCTAAATACATTTGGAACTAAGGAAAACAAACCCATCTTGATTCCTTTTTCTCAATGCTATTATTATTGTTTGTTAATAATATGGGTCCTTTGCTGAAGTATAAATTCCAGAATTGAAAACTAAGATGAGAGAAGCCACTGAATATCTCACACTTGGCATTACCAAGCCAAAAAATATTTCCTTGCAAGAGTTTATGCTTCTGGAAGTGTTGAGAAACCACACTTTGCCCTTTGTCTCCTTGACTTCAATCAGCTGTAGTTAAGCACCAAGAGCTGGACATTCAAAGGAGAATTGCTTCCACAGTGGCAGGGCTTGTTGATGCTGGAAACATCAATTGTATATATTGAACAAAGCTCCCTGTGGGTGTTGGGGTTTTTATTGGTTTGGGGGTTCTGGGGAGCGTGCTGTTTTGCAGGGGGAGGTTGCTGGATTTTTTGGTTGTTGCTTGTTTTTACTTTGTTTCCTTTAGGGGAAGAGGTAAGAAACAGTAACAAAAGGAACATGAAAATGTGAAGCGTCAAAAGTGCTTCAAAATGTTTCTTTATACTCAATGATTAAACCTTTGCACAGGAATGCAAATTATGCATTTTAGAGTCAGGTTTTGTGTTAAAACAGTTAATGAAATGAGCAGAGAATAAAACCAGCGCTCTCTATTCAAGATGCTGCTTTTTGCATGGTCACCACATCCCGGTTTGTAAAAGCTGAGCAGAAAAGGCGTATTGGCTTTCTAAGCTTTATAATAGTAACCACTCTACCCATCAGGCATTTGATGAATTTGCTCATTACAGCTCTTCTTAACAGAGAAGACTCAACAAAAAACTGAGTTTTGTTTTTTACTTTTCCCAAAGTCCTTAAATTATTACATTACAGTGGTTTAGAATATTGATATCACCATGCATTTTCTAAATAATTAAATACAAAGAATAGAAAGGGCTAGCTTTGCTTTATGGTATTTTCTTAATGAACTCAAGAGGGAAAAAAGGATATCAAGAGTTTATGAAGTGTTTAAACATAAAACCAAGGAATTATAGATAAAGTTCCAAGC